TTGAAACCTGGCTCCTACAGTTTAGGTTTTATGAATCTGTAAAATACCATGCAATTTAACAAGGAAGAAAGCAATTACACAATCCCATATCCCCTATGAAACATGATAGTTATCAACATGTCAAGATATACATAAATATACAAGTAGTACTCATATGTATGCTACAAACTACTTATGTCTAATGAATGAGGGCCACTCAACCAGAGGGAAACCATGCCTTATCTGTATTTCTGGGGCTAGTGAAGTAATGGACCTTAGAAAAGAATCTACCACTGCCACTTTACTAGACCAGCCTAGTTTCTTACTAGATTCTAAAGCTCATCCTTACACACATAGAAAAGTATACTATGCTTTTGATGAGGGATAACTCATCAAAGAAGCAACTGAGAACACCACAGAAAACCTGCAACTGGATGCAATACAGAAACTAACAGTTGGTAGGGTTCACACCCACAATGAATATATCTAAGTCATAGCTCCTCATCTGTAACTCAGATAAAATGGAGAAAGAGGGAGTCAAAGACTGTAGAAGTCAGAATACCAGGATGTATGCTGTGAAACAGGTTTTTTTTCTGAAATTACTGAATAAATAAAACTGTAAAAATGACAGTATCCATGGATATTCTAATGTAGAATCTGTAAAATTTTTTGGGTCCCAATTCTAGACAAAGAACTACAAGTAACCTGTGATGGCTGAGAGAAGAACAATTAGCCTCTCTGAGGCTAGAACCACCTTATTGATTGTCTAATGCATGTGGTCAGTCTTGAATCCATATACACCTAACAGCAGAAACATCATCAGGTTGTATTCACAAACAAACATATTTATATATTTTGTATATAAACTAATTATTATAGAAAAGGAAGCTATCAACATTAGAGTTTGAGAAAACATTCAAGGAGTTTGTTGGGAGGGTGTCTGGGAGGGCCTGGAGGAAGAAAAGTGTGGGAAAAATGGAGAAAATTGAATTCACTTAAAACAAAGATGAAGTTACATGTGTACATATAATATATATGTATATATTTTCATGTGTTTATGTAGGTAATAAACCTAGAAATATTTATGACTGAAGTGGAAGTACACTGAGGGAGGGGACTAAGAAAAGATAGAATGTATGTGATAAGAAAACAAAAGGACAACTATCAGGAAGAAGGAAAACATCTAAAAGGTGACAGAGAGAATGCAAGAAAGGTAGTGGATAGAGGACCCATTGATGACAAAATATAATGACACATATAGTGCTCACTAATTTAATGTCAAGAAGATTCATTTTAGAAGAGGGAATCTTAATGAGATTGACCTGTGGAAACCCAGTGATGCATTGTCTTGACTGATGATTGATGTGTGATATCATGGATCAATGTGGGTGGTGCCATCTTTGGGCTGGTAGTGCTGGGTTCTGTAAGAAACCAGGATGAGCAAGCAATGAAGAAAATGTTACTAAATAGTATTCCCCCATGGACTCTGCATTAGATTGTATTTCCAGGATTCTTCACTGTCTTCCCTGGATGATGAAACTGTAAGATGAAATAAGCCCTTTTCTCCCTCAGGATGCCTTTTTGGTCATGCTTGTTCTATCACAACAATAGAAATCCTAACTAAGACAAATAAGTATAAATGCCCCAGTGAAACTCATCACTCTGTATGTTAAGCAGTTATTGAAAAATAAATAAAACTACACAATACATAATGTTTCCTTTCTTTAAATCTTTTAAATATTGCAGGGAGATTTATTTGCAATTATTATGACATTCTCATGGTATTGTACCATCCAGATGAGAATAATTGCTCCGCAGAAAATAATATTGTATTCTGAGATATGTTCTTTATAGCATTGTTTCTAGTATGAAAGTATCAGAATCACTTGAAATGTTCACAAAAGTGAGAAGCATCAGTTCAGAATGTTAAGCTAACTGTATATGTTGTAGAATAAAATTTAACTAGCATTTTACTATTCCTAGTAACATATACACAGGAAAGTACAATATACTTTTTCAATGCAAATACATGGAAAGTGATAGCTACTCACAACAAGCTTAATAGTGGGTATTTCTGGGAAGAGAACAAAGTTTTGAAGTTGAGATTAAACATTAAAATCTGAGGCTTGTGATAAGGGTTAGTTTGCTAATAAAATCATTATATAATTATTACTAATTTCAAGCTGGTAGGATCAGATGAAATAAACCTATGAGTATAGAAAAAATCTCAAATCCTTTGAAAATTTTTAACATTTCCAAAATTCTTAACAGGACATGACTATAAGTTTACATTAATGAATATATATGAGTGTTTTATTTATAATGGCATATTTTAGAGAAGATTGCACCTCATTACAGATCATGAAACAATCATATTAACCTTCCTTCTAAATTCTAGATAAACTCTTATGCCATAGCACCAAATATTTTATGAATGGATTTACCTGCTATGTTGATTAGGAGTGATGATCCTACATATGAATAATAAACTTGGAGAAAGGCTTCTACAATCTGTGAAACATCAGGAAGTTCAGCATCCAATCCATTCTCAAACCGGGTTACATTCTCCTTATCCCCAGTCACTAACAGCACAATTCCAGTTACAGAAATTAGACAAAGAACAGCCATCTTCATCAAATTGCCAATAGCCTGAAATTGAATCACTGTTTTTATCCCTTGAGCATTGAGAATTCCAAATAACCACAAAAAAGACAAAGCCAAACACTTCTTTGGGAGCTCTGGAGCTAGGCACCCAGAATAGAAAGGTTGAATTAGATAGGTAGCTATTAGTAAGCTTTGAGCACTGATGCCTAGGATATGAGAAAAAAGTCTAATCCAAATACTCAGGAAAGCGGCAGTGTATCCAAGAGATTGCTTCAGGAAATAGTAAGATACTCCACTCACAGGGAAGGTGGTTGCAAGCTCTGCAAGACAGAGTGCATTCATCAGGCTCAGCAGGCCACCAACTGCCCACATACTCAGAAAAATGGGGATGTTCATTGAGCAGTATTTTAATACTTCTTTTGGGGACACAAAGATCCCTGTCCCTATAGTAGAACTAAGCAAAACCATGTTTCCGTAGGTGAATCCCACAACTCTCAAGAGTTGCATGGTTTTGCCTTTTTCTTTTTAATTCTAAAAAATATGGTTCTTCCCTATCATGCTTTTCTGTCACTTTCTGCAAAACCCTGTGAAACAGGGTGTTGCCTTGACTAAACCATCTTCTCTTTATAAGACATTTTAAGGCTGACCTTAACTTGGGTTTAAAAATGATTAACTTTTAGCTGGGTGGTGAGGCCATGTGCTTTTATTCCCAGTACTCTGGAGGCAGAGGCAGAGGCAGATGGATTTCTGAGATCAGAGTCTGTTTCATTTAAAAAGTGAATTCCAGGACAATCAGAATTGTTATACAATGAAACCCTGCTTCTTTTCCTTTTTTAATTTTTATAATTGTAATTAGAGCAATTTTAAATAAGAAACAAGCTTCTTTTACATGTCAATCCCAGTTCCCTCTCCCTCCCCTCCACCCCTGCCCTCCTCACCTACTATCCCAACCACTTTTTGCTCCCCAGGGTGGGTGAGGCCTTCGATGGGGGATCTTCAGAGTCTGTCATATCATTTGTAACAGGGCCTAGATCCTCCCCAGTGTGTCTAGGCTGAGAGAGTATCCCTCTATGTGGAATGGGCTCCTAAAGTCCATTCATGTACTAGGGATAAATACTGATCCACTACCAGAGGCCCCATAGATTGCCCACAATTCCAAACTGACATCTTTGTTCAGGGGGTCTGGAACAGTCCTGTGCTGGTTTCCCAAATATTGGTCTGGGGTCCATGAGCAACCTCTTTTGAGGTCAGCTGTTTCTGTGGGTTTTTCTAGCCTGGTTTTGACCCCTTTGCTCATCACTCCTCTCTCTCTGCAACTGGATTCCAGAGTTCAGTTCAATGTTTTGTTATGGGTGTCTGCTTCTGCTTCCATCAGCTACTGGATGAAGGCTCTAGGATGGCATATAAGGTAGTCATCAATCTCATTATCTGAGAAGGGCATGTAAGGTAGCCTCTCAACTATTGGTTAGATTTTTAGTAGGGGTCAAATTTGTAGATCTCTGGACATTTCTCTAGTACCAGAGAATGGGAAAGATATTTACCAACTCCACATCTGACAGATGGCTGATTTCCAAAATATACAAAGAACTCAAGAAGTTGATCAAAAAAAAAAAAAAAAAAAACCACCAACTAACCCAATTAAAAAGTGTGCTACAGAACTAAATAGAGAATTCTCAATGAAGGAATCTAAAATGGCTGAAAGACACATAAGAAAATGCTCAACATCCTTAGCCATCAGGGAAATGCACGATCCAGCAATTCCACTCTCAGGCATATACCCAAAAGAAGCACATTCATCCAACAAGGACATCTGTTCAACGATGTTCAGAGCAAATCTATTTTTAATAGCCAGAAACTGGAAGCAGCCTAGATGCCCCGCAACCAAAGAATGGATAGAGAAAATGTGGTACATTTACACAATGGAGTACTACTCAGCGGGAAAAAAAAACAATGGGATCTCCTATTGTAGTTCAGTACTTATCCCTAGGATAGACGTGGACTTTGGGGGCTCATTCCACACAGAGGGATACTCCCTGAGCAAAGACACACGGAAGTGGGCATAGGCCCTATCCAAAAGGATATGAAAGACAATAATCAACCCCCATGGAAGGCCTCAGCCTCCCTGGGGAGCAGAAAGGATATGTAATAGCTAGGGTTTTAGTTGGGGGAGGATGGTAGGGGAAGGAGAGGGAACTGGGATTGACATGTAAAACAATCTTGTTTCTAATTTAAATAAAAAAAATCTGAAAAAAAGAGAGTTTAGCCTCATAGAAACACCTTTCAGAGATGCTAGGACTATAGGCCCAAGATGAATGTCCCAACATTGCAGAGGAACTCTGAGTGACTCTCCAGGCATTCAGCTGTTTTCATCATTTCTCACAAAATTTTGGAAGTTGCTTGCTTGCACTTCCTGTTTACTTAATTAATATAATTTCCTTCTTGGGTCTCTGAGGGAGTTGAAGACTAAATAGTTACAGAGTTTTCCTTGTTTACCACACTCAGAAAGGATACTCACTAAAGAAATGGAAAGTGTTTGAGAGACATTAAAAGACAATTTGATAATGCAAATTAGAATCTAAAGTAAATTAAGTACAAGACTTTGAACATATCAGGATAAGATAGATAATGAAGTATTTTCTCTGAATTTCTTAAATGCAAATGGACTATATATTTTCTCTGAATTTGTCAAGGCCCTTTGTTTTGGATTTACTTGAGCACAGACCTGGCATCTGGCTGATAAATCGTTCACCAAGCTGTTAAATCTAGGTATAATATAACTTGATCTGAGCAACTCAGATGATTTTGTGGGCCCAAGATCAGGAGTCTGGTTAAGGTCAGTTACCAATCCTTGCAACTGTTTCTGGAAGAACAATAATTCCCTCTGGTGTTCTCCACAAACCTGTGGGTTTACACTCTCCATTCCTTCATTTTGAAGATTCTATTTCCTTTCAGTTATACCATGGAGTCTCAGGTAGCACTTGGTTTGGATATGTCACTAGAATATCAGAAGGCCCCACTGGTTTTAGGGCCACTTTTCAAGTCCTTGTCACCAAGTTAGTGGCCAGGTTACCTCTTACCTCAGGGGAGTCATCTTTTTCATGTCCTTGGCACAGGACAGCAACTCATAGGGGAAGACAAATGGCATTTTGGAGAGTCAACATTTCATCTTTTTTTAAAAAAAATTCTTTCCCTCAGCACTGAAGAATCTTTCTCCCTTATATATAGATAAAACACCATGGACATGTTCAGTAGCAAAGGCATAGTGACTGTCTCTTCATATTATTTCAAATTTTCTTTATCCTTATCCTAGAGACTTTTGTTATAGCAATCAATTCGGCTCTCTTGGCTGAGTTACCTGGCTCTAAAGCTTGGGTCCAAACAGTTTCAGTTAAAGTGACTACTGCAACCCACACATACCTTGTTCCATCTTTAATGAAGTTGTTCTCATCTGTGTAAAGCACTGTATCAAGATTTTCAAAGGGTGTGGGTATCCATTAAGTCTGGGCAGATCCCTTGCACCACTGTGGTTACCTCAAGACCTAAGCATTTATAGACCATCAATAGGCAACAAGATAGCAGTACTGAGCTGTGGGTTTCTCAAACTGGACTCAAGGATGATCCAGGAGTAGAGCCTGATACTGCACCACATGGGCAATAGACAGCCAGTGTTCCGATGTTCCTTGGAGGAGGACCTCAACTGCATCAGGTGTTAACTTGTTTGCTTCTTTCACTAGAACAGTGGTAGCTACCACAGTTTTTAAACAAATGGGCAATCCTGAAGTTACAACGTCCAGTTGTTTGGAGAATTACACCACAGGGCATTTCCATGACTCTAAATTTGGGGTAAAAATCCTTCTACATTGTTTTTGTTTCATGTAAAAATTGATGAAAAGATTTTGAGATGTTTGGAAGTACTAGTACTGGAGCCAAATTTGGAGCTGTTTTTGAAACCTCAAAGGCCTTTTGTTCAGTCTCAGTCCAATTTAGTGTCTTTTTTTTCACTTTTTATGCTGGTGTATGCAGGCTTTGAAATTTTTGCAAACCCTTGTATCCTGAGGTGGCAATACCCATAGAAATACTCCAGAGTATCCCTAACTCTTTGGAGTTGGTATCTAAAGGATAGTTGCAATCCTATCTGCCACAGGCTCCATTTACTCATTGGTTGGCAGGCATTCTGTGATGCGATGTAGAGTTGGCTTTCTTAACAGATTCTTTTAACCTATTTTTAGTAATTATGTTTTTTCAGTTTTTAAATGTAAATTAGAAACAAACTTGTTTTACATGTCAATCCGAGTTCCTTCTCCATCCCCTCTTCCCCTGCCCCCCAGTAACTCCCATCCCCTTTATGCTCCCCACAGAGGGTGAGGCCTTCCATGGGGAATCTTCAAAGTCTGTCCTATCTTTTGGAGCAGGGCCTAGGCTGAGACTTTATAACTCTATGCTGAATGGGCTCAAAAAATCCATTTGTACACTAGGGATAAATTCTGATCCACTACCAGAGGCCCCATAGATTGCCCAGGCCTCCTCACTGACACCCACGCTCCAGGGTTCTGGATCAGTCTTATGCTGGTTTCCCAGCTATTAGTCTGGGTTTCATGTGCAACCCTTTGTCAGTCAGCTGTTTCTGTATGCTTCTCCAGCCTGAACTTGAGCCCTTTGCTGATGACTCCTCCCTTTGTGCAACTGCATTCCAGGAGTTCAACTCAGTGTTTAGCTGTGGGTATCTGCTTCTGCTTCCATTAGCTACTGAATGAAGGCTCTAGGTAGTCATCAATCTCATTATCAGGGAAAGGCATTTAAGATAGCCACTCCACTATTGCTTAGATTGTCAGGTGGGGCTATCCTTGTGGATCTCTGGGCATTTCCCTACTGCCAGATTTCTCTTTAAAACTATAATGGATTCATATATTATAGTATCTGTTTCTTGCTGTCCTCTATTCTTCACCCAATTCAATGTTCCTGCTCTGTATTTCCTCATCTTCCCTCCTCTTCTCTCCTCTTTCTCATAACTCCCTCTGCCCTCCAAACATGCTCCCAAATAGCTCAGGAAATCTTTTCCCTTTCCCCGTTTATGACTCTTAGAGTCCTCCTTGTTTCCTAGCTTCTCTGGCTGTGTGGATTGTAGCCTGGTAATCCTTTGCTTATTTCTAAAATCCATATATGAGTGCTTACACACCATGTTTGTATTTTGGTAACTGGGTTACCTCACTCAGGATAGTTTCTTCTAGTTTGCATGCAAATTTCAAGATTCCATTTTTTCCCCACTAAGTAGTATTCCTTTGTATAATCTACTACATTTTCTTTATCCATTCTTCAGTTGAGGGCCATCTAATTTGCTTTCAGGTTCTGGCTATTACAAATAATGCTGCTATGAATATAGATGAACAGATGTCTTTGTTGTATGAATGTGTATCTTTTGAGTATATGCCTAGGAGTGAAATTGCTGGATCTTGTGGTAGACTCATTCCCATTTTCCTGAGGAACCACCATGTTGATTTCCAAAGTAG